TCACCACACACACACACACACACCTCACCAATGAAACTCTTCAAGGAGTTCTCCCGAGTGTTAAACCCCTCTGCTCCATCATCAATGCTTCTCTCAGTCAAGCTACATGCCCAGCTGACTGGAAGACCTTTGTATCACCAGTGCCCAAGTCAACCAGCCCAATAATCCTAAATCAGCTACGACCTATTGCAATCACTCCTAATACCCAGCCCAATCTGAAAGTTTTGTGTCTGACTGGGCTATGCTGATATTGAGGAGTCAGACCTCAGCAATTTGGCAATATGAAAATCCTCCACCACTCACTGTCTTGTCAGCTTTCTCGATTACATATACCGCCATCTCGAGAAACGAAAACGTCTGTAGCTGTCGCCTTCATTGATTTCACAGAAGCATTCGACCTAGTCGACCACAATATAATCATCAACAAAGCTATTGACCCGGGCTTCAGAGAAGTCTTATACCATGGCTTACAGACTTCCTCAGTGACCGACGCCAAGCTGTACGCTTCCGAGGGGCTGTTTCTCCACCTTTCAGTCACTCACCAGTGGCGTCCCCCAAGGCACCAAGATGGGACCACTCTGCTTCCTTATACTCATCAATGATGCCCTAAAGAGAAACCCCTGCTCGCTGGAAATATGTCGACGACTCCACCACTGGGATCAGCGTCAACAATTCTGCTCCCCAACTATACCGCCCTTCAGGATTTATTGAACAGTCTCCAAAACTGGGCCACCAACAACCATGTCACCATCAACCATACCAAGACCATGGTTATACATCAACCTCTCCGACATTGTCCCCCCTCCGTCCATTTTAGGTCCGAACACACCCAGGTTGTAGATTCCACGAAGCGCCCTATACCATCATTCACAAACTAAATTGGAAACCACGTCAGTGAAGTTATCCAGCATCCTCGTTTCCATCTCCACCTCCTCCCACTTAAACTCAAGTCCCTCAGGTTCCACACGAGCTCCTCAGTGTATACACAACATTTATGCTTCCCAAGCTCACCTATGCCTCCCCACTGTTCCTCCTAAAATGCCACAACGTAAACACCTAGAAAAAAGTGCAAGAGGGCATGCAAGATTATTCTCTCCTTCCTACTCTACATATAAAAGCATCTGTACACATTGCTTTCGACTCTCACTGACCATCACCACAGCTCCATCTACAAATTTGGTAGAAGCTTCTACACCATCCCCAGGCACCAGCCCTACTACTACCTAGAATCCCCTGTCCAAAAGTGCTGTTAGAGCTACAGCCGTCCATACGTGCACAGACAGTCGCTATAAGAACGACCCAGTCCCAACCATTGTAAAAAGTGTCAGCATGTAATAAATCAGTGTATTCACTCCCAGCTTACTATACTACGCTGTCACTATGTTGGAAATGAACTGTATTTAGGCTGATCCCCATCTGGATTTACTACTATATGTCTTATTTGTGTCACTTATGTCGCATATATTTGTAATTCATAACCCATTCCCCAAATATGTAATGTATATTTTCAGCCTTCTGGCTGTAGAAACTTCACCAAATAAACCGTTAATTATTATTATTATTATTGTACACACACCCAGGGCCTACATCAGGCCGATTACTGACTCTGGTACGCCTCTTCGGGCAGTGGATAGTTCACCATCCTGGACTGAAGTACTTAGCGTAGATGACGTGGAAACCAAATGGATAAATTATACCAACACCACCACAGGCTGCACTTCTTCCCCGAGAAGTCCGTCAGATCTCACCAGCTGACTTGCCTGGATCACCTCCGGATCCAAAAGACTTATGCAACAGAGACCAGAGCCTTTCATCTCAATGACCACATCCTTTACAGGTCACTTCGCAACCGAGTCATCCGCGAAATACGCACTGCAAAGAGATCCTACCCAGCAAATTAGCACCTGAAGCAGATAGCATCAGTCAATGGTATGGTAAGCAAAAACTCTGTGGACTAAACAATAGACACACCTCCCTTCCTGAGGCCATCTCACTAATGTTGACGCAGCTGAACCCAAACAAATAACCATTTCGCTACTATATGTAGACATACACGGCTTGACACAACCACTCTCCTGCTTACCTACCAAGCCCCCCTTCCCACTGACTTAGTGAAGAAATTTGACGTAGCAAAACACAGTTTAAACTAAAATTAAACGCTCTACCCCATTTGACACCAATGAAACTCTTCAAGGAGTTCTCCCGGAGCTTGCTAAACCCCACATATCATCATCGGTAGCTTCTCTCCAGTTAAAGCCAAGATGCCCCAACTGACTGGAAGACCTCTTATGTGTCACCAGTGCCAAGTCAACCAGCCCACAATCAGCAAATCAGCCACGACCTATTGCAATCACCCCAATACCCAACCCCATAATCTCTTGAAAGTTTTGTGTTCGACTGGAAGCTTATGCTGATATTGCAGAGTCATGGGCCCTCAGCAATTTAGCAACATGAAAAACTTCCTCCACCCACTCACTGTCTTGTCGGCTTTCTCGATTATATACCGCCATCTCCGAGAAACGAAAAAACGTCTGTAGCTGTCGCCTTCATTGGCGGATTTCACTAAGCGTTCGGCCTAGTCGACCACAATATAATCATCAACAAAGCTATTGACCTCGGAAGCTTCGCGGAGAAGTCTTATACCATAACTTACAGACTTCCTCAGTGACCGACGCCAAGCTGTACGCGCTTCCGAGGCTGTCTCCACCTTTCAGTCACTCACATGGCGTCCCCAGAGCACCAAGATGGGACCACTCTCAAACTTATGCTCATCAATGATGCCCTAAGAAACCCTGCTCGCTTCCGGAAATATGTCGACAACTCCACCATTGGGATCAGCGTCGAAAACAATTCTGCTCCCAACTATGCCGCCCTTCAGGATTTATTGAACAGTCTCCAAAAACTGGGTACCAACAACCATGTCACCATCAACCATACCAAGACCATGGTTATGCATCAACCCCCTCTCCTCAAACATTGTCCCCACCTCCTTCCATTACTCCTGGGTCCCGAACACACTCCCAGGTTGTAGATTCCACAAGCTCCTCGGCGTCTCACCATAGACAACAAACTAAATTGGAAACCACACGTCAGTGAGGTTGTCAATTCCTCCAGTTCCGTCTCCACCTCCTCCGCCGACCTCAGTCCCTCCAGGTTCCTGCACCTGAAGCTCCTCAGTGTTTGCAACATTCATACTTCCCAAAGCTCACCTATGCCTCCCCCACCTGGTCTTCCTCCCTAAATGCCACACAACGTAAACGCCTAGAAAAAGTGCAAAAGAGGGCATGCAAGATTATTCTCTCCCTTCCTACTCCACATATCAGAAGCGCTCAACACACTGACCCTTTCGACTCTCACTGACCATCACCACGACCTCATCTACCTGCAAATTTGGTAGGCTTCTACACCATCCCGACACCGGCTCCTACTACCACCTGAGATCCCTTGTTCGAGAATTGCTTGTTTCGACACTACAGCATCCAGCCCATACGTGCACAGGCAGTCGCTAAGAACAGCCCAGTCCCAACCATTGTAAGATTATCAATAACTTGTAATAAATCAGTGTATTCACTCCCCAGCTAAACACTGCTCCTTACACTGTCACTATATTTAGAAATGAACTGTGGATTTGAGCTTTTCCCCATCTAGTTATTATATGTCTTATTTGTGTCACTTATGTTTACTTGTATATTATTTGTAATTCATCGCCCATTCCCCAAATATGTAACTGTATATTTTCAGCCTTCTATTTTTAAATCTCAATAAACCACCGTTAATTATTATTATTATTATTATTACACACACACCACACACACACACACACACACACACACACACACACACACACACACACACACACACACACACACACACACACACACACACACACACACGGGACTTAGGCACATTACATATGTACCAATAACTTATAACACTTGTTATATACACATTAGGGGAAACAATGTGCTTGTAAAATGTGTAACAAAATACCTTTATTATTCTTCCACTTATGTGCTTATCAAGTACAGGTTCGTCACGAGCACTAGTAGAGTACAGTACTCCTTTGTAACACGTGTTCTACAGATGTACGATAGTTGTAATAGAAACACGATCTATAAGTACCGTTTTCCAGGTCAAACACAGTGTAGAAAGCACCTCAGTTAGACCCAGCTGTACGGTAGCTGAGATTAGTGTCAAGTACTACATTACAATCCCATGAGTCATCTGTGTCAATCATGAATAGACATAAGTGCAATAACTGACACTAATGAGACGCACACAACTTCCATCTAATTACCTTCAGTATAACAATGAGCAACACAAACCCAAGCAGACAGATAGACACGGTGATGGGTACAGACAGATAGACACGGTGATGGGTACAGACAGACAGACAGACACGGTGATGGGTACAGACAGACAGACACGGTGATGGGTACAGACAGACAGACACGGTGATGGGCATAAGACAGATAGACACGGTGATGGGTACAGACAGATAGACACGGTGATGGGTACAGACAGATAGACACGGTGATGGGTACAGACAGATAGACACGGTGATACAGACAGATAGACACGGTGATGGGTACAGACAGATAGACACGGTGATGGTACAGACAGATAGACACGGTGATGGGTACAGACAGATAGACACGGTGATGGGTACAGACAGATAGACACGGTGATGGGTACAGACAGATAGACACGGTGATGGGTACAGACAGATAGACACGGTGATGGTACAACGGATGGACACGGTGATGGGTACAGACAGAGATGACACGGTGATGGGTACAGACGAAGACGGTGATGGACAGACAGATAGACACGGTGATGGGTACAGACAGATAGACACGGTGATGGGTACAGACAGATAGACACGGTGATGGGTACAGACAGACAGACACGGTGATGGGTACAGACAGACAGACAGACACGGTGATGGGTACAGACAGATGAACACGGTGATGGGTACAGACAGACAGACACGGTGATGGTACAGACAGACACGGTGATGGGTACAGACAGACAGACAGACACGGTGATGGGAGCAGACCGGACACGGTGATGGGTACAGACAGACAGACAGACACGGTGATGGGTACAGACAGACAGACAGACACGGTGATGGGTCGCAGACAGACAGACACGGTGATGGGTACAGACAGACAGACAGACACGGTGATGGGTACAGACAGACGCAGACACGGTGATGGGTACAGACAGACAGACACGGTGATGGGTACAGACAGACGACACGGTGATGGGTACAGACAGACAGACAGACGCGGTGATGGGTACAGACAGACAGACACGGTGATGGGTACAGACAGACAGACACGGTGATGGGTACAGACAGACAGACAGACACGGTGATGGGTACAGACAGACAGACACGGTGATCGGTACAGACAGACAGACACGGTGATGGGTACAGACAGACAGACACGGTGATGGGTACAGACAGACAGACAGACACGGTGATCGGTACAGACAGACAGACACGGTGATGGGTACAGACAGACAGACACGGTGATGGGTACCAGACAGACAGACAGACAGACACGGTGATGGGTACAGACAGACAGACACGGTGATACAGACACAATGAGGGTCATACATAAAGATATGATGTTAGCCATACAGACAGACAAGGAGAATGCCACAGTCACCAGCCATACCCGAGGTCTGACATGTGCACCGTCGTTATGAGTGTTTAAAGACATGTGTAAGAGTCTTAACACTACTAAACATTAGGCTCCCTGGACCCATCACCTCCCTCAGTAACCCCAACCCACCGGGCCTTTTCTCTCACCATCCACGACAGAAAAACAAAATTCAATCACAGACTCTGGAAATAAAAGTTCCTCTGCCATAAAGACTGGCAGGCCACGAGCTGGTTGTAATGTAGTTATTGATATGCAGATGAAACACATGCAAATGAATCAGTGTCGGGGCCCCAGTCTGTGTGTCATCTACAGAAACACTACAAGTGTTGTTGTGACTCAAGTATCTATTTGTGTTCATTATTGTATAATTAACACAATATATATATATAAATATATATATAAATATATATATATATATATATATATATATATATATATATATATATATATATATATATATATATTTAAAGGATCATTAAATTTTAAAAACTTTGTGTGCAAATGTGAAATAAAAAATCTGTAAATGGCATATAAAAGGCAAAATTAATAAGTTTTAGCACAATTACTGCAATCAATTCTAGTTGTCAACATAACTACCATGTTTTATGATACTATATATTCATACAGATTATAGGAGCAGTAAGTTAAACACGGTGGGAGAACACCGTAGAATTATGCTGCAAGAGAGAGAGAGAGAGATATATATATATTGAAAACAAACTTGATGTAAGATTTGAAGCATTTGACTCTTGTAAGGACGCTCAGACTCCATCAATTTGAGGATATTGTGTACTTTGATCTCGTAAAGTTCATGTAGAGATGTTCGGTCTAACGACCTTCCAGGCTTTTTTTATTTGAGATCATTCGGTGATTGACTGATTGACATGTCGAGAGTAATGGAGGAGGTGAACTGTGTGTTGTGGCCAAGAGAATACAAGTACCTCACAGGAATCCTATTTCTAAATGGGTGGAGGATAAAGAAACTGGGTGTGTGAACGATAAACCACGACCCGAGAGACCTCGACTGTCGACCGCTGTGGAGAAAGCTTTTACCCATGTCCATACTGTCGAATTATTATTTGTTCTAAGTTAAACTCTCACTCAATGAACTGTTTCACATCAATTCAATTTGCCTGTTGAGGTATCCACGTTAACCCTGCAAGACAAATAGACAGATATATTAATAATTAAAAAAATTTGATAAAGGATTGCCGCGATAATCTTCCCATCCCGTCGATATAATGAGACAGGTAGGAGGAGGAGCATCCTGTGAGGGCGGGGCAGCTTTAAGGGCCTGGTGGCGGGTGTGTGAAGGGGACAGCTGCGTCCTCAAGCATCCTGCCAACACTTGCATCAACTCTTAGCGGGCGGAGTGAACAAGACCCACATTCTTAGCCCGGATGCTCAATGGCTCGCACTTTAAATCTGTTCCCGCAACTGAAGGAGTGAGACAACATCTAACACATTCACTAAAGCTGTGTAAACTGTCTTTCAAAGATGGTGAGTTAAAACCCAAGTCGACCTCGCACCGTGACTACTGTGCCTGGATGTTATTCTCTCGTTTTCCCTCGAGTGAATCTTTACCCAACAAACTCCTGAGACTCCGGGCGTGTGGTGAGTGAGGGCGGGGAAGGGTAATATTGGTCGTAATATGAACAAGACTGAAGTTTGTAGAGACGTTCAAGTCAGTCTTAACGTCGCACCTCAACATCTTAACTTGACTCAGTTTTTCAGGTGGGTGGACGGTACACTGTAATAACTTGTTAAAACAGGTTTAAATGAGATGTGTACCTGGGAACTCATTTAATATTTGTCATTTAAAGAGTGTACCCATGACGTACAGTACCTCTCGTTTAACAAGTGTGCCTGGGGACTAAGAACCTACCTGATGTTTAATGAATTTATCCGGGAACATTAAACGTACCTGATATTTCATGAAAGTACCTGGGACCCTACCTGGTGTTTAACGATAGTATCTAGGACCTTATCTAGTGATTAATAAAAGTACCTGGTGTTTAACGAGTATACCTGGGGACCTTGGACGTACCTGGCGCTTAATAAGGGAGCCCGGGGAATCTGCAGGGCTCTGGCCGTTGACTCTGACCTCTCCCTGGGCGTTAACTGAGTCGAGCACGCCGTCCTTGACCACGTAGTGTATGAGGTCCATGGCTCGACGCATCTGGCAGAACACTGTATCTCTGTTCTCCCGCGAGGTGAGGCACTCTGGGTGACGAAGACACACCTGGGGGAGGGAGGGAGACACAGAGTTTAGTAAAACCTACGACAGGGCATAACTAATGAAGGAAAGGAGTAAGGTCAATATGGAATAAACAGTAAGAAGAGACAAGATCAGGTAACAGTGAAAGGAACATCAACGGGTGAGTAGTACTGTACGCTCGGGGAACCTGACCACAGATACGCCTCTACTGCCACGTTTTTATTCATTCCCTCTGAAGCTCCTGAATGAACGCGACACCGAGAATGGCCGCCAGCGGCTATAAAATATTAACAGTTATGCTCAAACATAACACAGGCGGCTACACTCACGGTCTAAACCTGGATTTACTACTTACTGGAGCCGCCGTATATGTTCGTCTGTTGTGAGGTGCTGACATATATTGCATGTACCTGAGGCCAGGATTCCCAAAGGTCGTAGGCTTAAGTCCTTTTAAGCTGGGTTATGCAGGCACCTCAAGAGGTCTGCCAGGCACTTGTTCCAGGTCAGGCGTGAGTCGGGAGAAGCATTAAAGTAAAGTAACAGAGATAGAATTACTTGTGTATGATGTGTTACAATCGGGTTTCATGATTTAGCCTTAACTGAACTAAGCTGAAATGAACTGAGAATCTTTCGTTATATCTTTGTGATGCAGGGAGCCCCAGCATCACCTGCCAACACCTGTTCACACAACCCACCCACCGACTCCCGTAACTAAAAAAAAAAAATGTACCAAACAGCAAGTATGAGCACAAAAGTGATCTTAGGGGCAAAAATACCGATTTATCGCGTTTTGTGTTCTGTGTTCACGCAGTCACTTCCATGTGCACTGAGAAGAAGTACACAGAGTAATGATATGTACGACAACACACGAGGAGGAGGAGGAGGAGGTTTACATCCACAGAGAGGACAGGATGTGCAGCGTGAGGAGCTGCGCAGGGTGAAATGAGAGGAAAGACGCGCACCTTGGAGGCTGTGAGGAGCATCATGGTGGATCTGTCGAGGACCTGCCGCGCTGCCGCCATCTGCGCTCGTCTACGCTCGTCCTTCATGTCAGCTGTGCGGTCGCCGGTGAGGTGCGCCAACTCCACCATCTCGGCCCCGAAGTGACTGAACGCCTTCACAAATTCAGTAAAGTTGGTGACGCTCTCTAACCGCGACAGGCTGTGGGTCACCTGGGGAGGGAAGACAAGTGTTAATAACAAATAATTCTGCACTTAACATGTACTGTATAAAATTAATCCTAATTACTGAATAATCTTTAAAACAACAACAGCAACTTACTTAATGAGATAAAATGCGTAAAACAAACAACTTAAAGTAACAGCAAAGACTACAAACTAGAAATTGTGTCCACATGGATGATGAATTTCCTCTCTATATAATTCACTATGGTCATCAGTGGTCCAGTGGTTGTGTGAAGACTCCCGAGAGAGAGAAAGAGAGGTGTTATTCGCACTAGATTTTTTTTCACACGACGTAACACATCCAATGACAGATTCCTGCTCATTATGTTATTAGTAACAAGAAAAATGTTGATGAGGAATGAATTTAAATAAAGTGGTCACGAGTAAATGATTTAATTAAACACTTATAACGGGTAATGCATTCGTATGTCTTTACGGTTATAAACAAACAATATCTAAAACAGAATGATAATTTATCGATATACGAATGTAATGAGAGTCTAGTATGGCTTAACAGTAGACACCAAACTGTTTATAGTGTGTGTGTGTGTGTGAGTGAGTGTGTGTGTGTGTGTGTGTGTGTGTGTGTGTGTGTGTGTGTGTGTGTGTGTGTGTGTGTGATCGAGTCATTACCAGCCTCGCTCTACGTTCAACAACACGAGAGACGTTAGTTAGCATGTTTAATGCTTTCAAGGAGATAATACAATCGCATATATCTAACTCAGACACAGAAACATACAGACAAACAAACTGATAACGAGAGGCAAACAGGCAGATAAGCGGATAGATACAGACAGACACTCAGACGCTGGCCATATTCTCGTCCAAAAAATCTCGCCATCACTTCAAGCTGAAACATGAACAAAGACACACGGTACACGTTGACGCAGGGGAGTGAAGTGGGAGGGTGGAGTGTGACCCTCAAGTGGAGATGGAGGGCCGTGGTTAAGGCGAATGGTCGTGGTTAAGGTGGAGAATCGTGGGTAAGGTAGAGGTCGTGGGTAAGGTGGAGGGTCGTGGTTAAGGTGGAGGGTCATGGTTAAGGTGGAGGTTCGTGGTTAAAGTGGAGGGTCGTGGTTAAGGTGAATGGTCGTGGTTAAGGTGGAGAATCGTGGGTAAGGTGGAGGGTCATGGTTAAGGTGGAGAATCGTGGGTAAGGTGGAGGGTCTTGGTTAAGGTGGAGGGTCGTGGTTAAGGTGGAGGGTCGTGGTTAAGGTGGAGGGTCATGGTTAAGGTGGAGGTTCGTGGTTAAAGTGGAGGGTCGTGGTTAAGGTGAATGGTCGTGGTTAAGGTGGAGAATCGTGGGTAAGGTGGAGGGTCATGGTTAAGGTGGAGGTTCGTGGTTAAGGTGGAGGGGTCGTAGTTAACGTGGAGGTCGTGGATTACAGGGTGGAGGGTCAGTGGTTAAGACGAATTAATGGTGGTTGGAGTGGATATTGACGAGACGGATCATAATGGTGGCTGTAGTGGGTAATGGTGGTGGTGGTGGTGGTGACGGTAGCGGTAGTGGGTGGAGGATGTGCAGACCTCCACTGGGGCTCTTGACCCCTCCACATACTGCTGGCGCCCCCAGGTTTTCAATGGGCGGTGGTCACTCCTCCAGTCTTAATTCGCACAAGCCATCAACAATTATTGGGCAGCAGAGAGAGGGAAGGGGGGGGTGGGTCATCACCAGGATGGGCGGGCGAGTGGATTGGGGAAAGAGGATGGAAAGGTGGAGGAAGAGAAGGAGGAAGAATAACCTACCCTCCCCACACATCTGATACACAGTGCTGAAACAAAAGACTGTCTCACCAGCACCCCCACAACCCCAGCACAATGGACACACCACACGGCCTTGAAGCTAAGATAAACTGTGGTAGAATGATGATGCAATACAGTCACGCCACAGCTTCAACGTCGTCAGCTGGTGCGGTGAAACAGAAGACAGTCAAAAGAGCGTCGAGAAATAAGTGAAAGACATGTATAAATGCTAACAGTATTATAAAAAACAAAAGACTATAATTCTATTGACGAAAACAAAGGAGTATCACTATCAATAAAAATAAAAATCATCACCGTCGATAAAAACCAAAGAATTATAACTTTATTTATGGACACCAAAGTACTATCACCCCATCTATGTAAAAAAAAGACTATCACCTCATCTTTGTAAAAATAAAAGACTATCACTTCATTTATAAAAACAAACACCTATCGAAACATTTCCTAAACATTATCACACTGAACACAACATTGGAACCCAACTTGTCGTACGAGTGATTCAAGAACAGTTATGGGGTGTACGACGCCATTTACGATGACCTTCTTGCCCTGATCTTTTTTCAGGAATATCGCCTTTAACACATGGAACTCTGCACTTTTCGAAGCTTTGGAGGAGTGTCGAAGCAAGTTTCCTGGTGGGAATTATTAGCTAGTGCTGTACTCAAAATATCGAAACTTCGAGATCTCTCCAGAGCTTTAAAAGGGTGGTATTCCTGAAACAAGATCAGGGCAAGAAGGTCATCGTAAACGGCGTCGTACACCCAACGACTGTTCTTGCAATTGGCCCTGGTCAGAAGAGTCTCTTAAAATGAAAGTAAACAGATTTTTACTGCCACTTTTGTCAACTTTTCTACTTGCTGTTTTAATTCGTCTGGTTAGTATAAGGACTGTGTTGTTAAAATTATAATAAGGCTAATGTGTAGAAAACGAGACGTAAATCAATGAACGAAAAAATATATACTGCACTGGGTATGTCTTTACTTTGGAAAAGAACCAATGGCTACTTGTAACTTCTGCGACACTGAATGAAAAAGTTAAACTGTCAACAGGAAATTTGTACGATTGGTTAATGTTATTTTATTACATTAGTTAACATGGAGGAAATTTATCTCGTCAAAACTTTAGTTTACGAAATATTTTTGGCCTCTCCACCATGGCAGCTCTTCCTAAACAGGCCTATGAATATTCTTCTTCTTCTATTGTTATTATTATCATTATTACTGCATTATTATTATTATTATTATTATTATTATTATTATTATTATTATTATTATTATTATTATTATTATTATTATTATTAGCGCCACTAATATACGTCATTACCAGGCCATCAATGCTGACGAGACCAAATTACATTGTGTCAAGTGTCCGCCATCTGCTTCCTAATTCTCGGTGGTGTGGAAAAATGAGGAAACCTCCTTAAATGTTAGGAGGGCAGCAACAGACAACAGAGGCAGCAGCAGACAACAGAGAAAACAGAGGCAGCAACAGACAACAAAGGCAACAGTAGCAGACAACAGAGGCAGCAGCAGATAACAGAGGCAACAGCAGCAGACAACAGAGACAACAGAGGCAGCAGCAGACAACAAAGGCAACAGTAGCAGACAACAGAGGCAGCAGCAGATAACAGAGGCAACAGCAGCAGACAACAGAGACAACAGAGGCAGCAGCAGACAACAGAGAAAACAGAGGCGGCAACAGACAACGAAGGCAAAAAAGCAGTGACGAACGAAAAGCAGAGGCGGCAGATAATGAAGAAGAAACAGAGGCAGCAACAGACAACAAAGGCAACAGTAGCAGACAACAGAGGCAGCAACAGATAAATAGAGAAAACAGAGGAGGCGCAGACAACAAAGGCAACAGAGAGACAAAACAGAGGCAAACGGCAGATAACAGGAGAAAAACAGAGGTACAAACAGAGACAAACAGAGGCAGCAGACAGAGACAACAGAGGCAGCAGAGACAACAGAGGCAAACACAACAGAGGTAAGGGTAAGCAGCAGCAGACAACAGAGGCAGCAGCAGCAGACAACACCCAGGAGAGAGCTTGACAAGAAAAATATGGACCAATCGTCACCCAAAATCTGGCAGTAGGATCAGGGACGAGTGAAACACCACACACACACACACACACACACACACACACACACACACACACACACACACACACACACACACACACACACACACACACACACACACACACACACACACACACACACACACACACACACACACACACACACACACACACAAGTATGATCAACGTCCTCGCAATACTTGTCTCCATATTTCGTGTTGTGTGTGGCGGCAGGAAGGTTGTGTGGAGAATATTGACACTATACCGGGTGTTCCTTCTCGCCTTACTAACTCGGGGTGTACAGGGAGGCGGTCAGCTGGTATCGCCTCACCTTCACAAATACGTTACGTGGAGAAATAATTAGCACGTTACCTTGAGAAATAATTAACAAGTGAGTTACCTTGAGAAATAATTAGCACGTTACCTTGGAGAAATAACTAGGGAGTCAGTCGTTGTCAGTCAACATTTGTGCCCCATTGTCAATTTCTCCACCAAAGACACACACACACACACAGAGAGAAAGAAAAAATTAGAGGAGAGAGAGAGAGAGAGAGAGAGAGAGAGAGAAGAGAGAGAGAGAGAGAGAGGACAAACTTTCCCTACTTAACATACATGAGAAACCATCGATTTTCACAGCGTAGAACTGACATCCTCGTAGTAGTGGTGGTGATGATAGTGATGGTAGTAGTAGTGGTGGTGGTGGTGGTAGTGGTGGTAGTAGTGGTGGTGGTGGTGGTGGTGGGTGGTGGTAGTAGTAGTGGTGGTAGTAGTTTTGGTGGTGGTGGCGGTGGTGGTGGTTTTGGTGGTGGTGGTGGTGGTGGTAGTGGTAGTAGTGGTGGTGGGCGGTAGTAGAGGTAGTGGGTGTGGTGGTAGGCGTGGTGATGGGCGTGGTAGTGGGCGTGGCTCGTCTCAAGCTCACTACACTTCCTGAATCACAATTATGAAAATGAGTCAATCCCACGACCCACTGACTGCCAACCCTGGAACTGCCGCCACACCCTGAGCTGTGAGACTGCTAGGGTACTGAGAGGTTGCTAGGGTGAGCTGGGAGACTGCTGGGGCTGAGAAGGTTGCTAAGGTGAGTTGGGGGACTGCTGAAAGGTTGCTAGGGTGAGCTGGGGGATTGTTGGGCTGCTGAGGTGCT